ACACAGCAGCAGCAAAACTCAGAAATGACAGACATTACAGAATTTGCTATAAATGCTCTACTGACTCTCTCATTGCCAGCAACAACAACGACAACAACAACGACATCAGAATCAACAACAACATCAACAACAGCAATGACAACAACAACAACATCTTCACTTGCTACATCATTATCAGTAATACCATCAGTAGTAGCTACCACAATATTTGCGGCCACATCAACAACAACAACGACTTCTACCAATACTTCAACAACATCAACAACTTTGCAGCTACTGCAAAAACAAACCCAACAGCAGTCAACAATCTTGCAACAGGCGCAACAAAAACTACCACAGCAGCCACAGAGTCAAGAGCAAGCCAAACAAGACACACAGCATTCACCACAGCACTCAAATCCACAACAACCAGCACAGCCACAGCAGCCACAACTGACTCTGATGAACGAAACGTACGTCATGACATTAATGTCGAAACTCCAACGACACACTATGGCATCGTTCAGTCATCACATCCCCGTCCATGTCATGCTGGCTGACTGGACCACTAATGTCATCCAAGCTGCCCTAGGCTCCAGTAAGACACACTCCAACCAGGGGAACGCCAAACATGTTTCACTTTCACATTCTACAGCCGCTGCTGCTGCTACTGCTACTACTTCTACTACAAAAGCTACTGCATTTTCTTCTACAAGTTCAACAGTTCTTTTGAAAAATACCATCAGTACATCTGCTATTTCAGCTAATAGTAACACGATCAAAGGTAATAATAGTTGTAATCTGACAAGTTTTCAACTGTTTCCGAATCTGTTGAACATGAAGTTTCAAACCAACACCACCACCACCTCCAACAACAACAGCAACAACACTGCTAGTGGTGCTAACAAGCTGTTTTATATAGTAACAAACAACAACAGCAGCAACAATCAAACTAACTTGCAACAACAACAACAACAGCAGCAGATAAAAATAGTTCAGGGTTTCCCTCACTCCTTATCAGCTGCAGCAAGATTATGCAGCTCAGCACCTTCAAATGACGATGATGACCTTGACCCAGATAAAAGTAGGTCACCATCTCCACAGAGGTCGTCTTTTAATGGACCTACTGTCAAGTTAGAAATATTTCTTTTTCGTTTTTTAAAAAAGGAAATGTTACTAAATTTATTCAAATTTATGCCATTTGTAACTCATTTAAATATTAATGTGTGTGTGTACAGCTTGTTCATCTACCCGCCGACACCTGGTCCAGGCCGTATTACGGTGACCAATGAAGATTTTTTCTGCCTGAACGACGGAGAATTCCTCAATGACGTCATCATTGATTTTTATCTCAAGTCAGTCAACCAATCAATCAATCAATCAATCAACCAATCAATCAACCAATCAACCAACCAACCAATTAATCAATCAATCAATCAATCCTATCAACAGGTACTTCCTGCTAGAGAAATTACCAGCTGACCAGTCAGAAAAAGTGCACCTCTTCAGTTCTTTCTTCTACAGGAGGCTAACACAGAAGCATGCAGGAGAAGCTAACAGCTCTTTGACGTAAGTTAAGAAGATGGCCTGGTGTATTGTTGAATAAACACGCACACCACACACACACACACACACACACGCACACATGCTTACGCACATACATGCATACATATATGCAGGCCTGAGCAAGTCAGGCATTCGAGAGTAAAAACTTGGACCCGACACGTGGACTTGTTTAAGAAAGATTTCATCATTGTGCCTATAAATGAAAGGTTTTTTGTTGTTGTATGTATGTGTGTATGTGTATGTGTGTATGCGCGCGCGTGTGTGCGCGCGTGTGTATGTATATAAGTATGTATGTTGGGATTGTTGTATGCTGGTTTTGTGTTTGCCGTTAATAATAAATAGCACCGTTTGTTTTTCTTCTTTTATCTCTGCATAAATTAATATGCAAATTTATTCAAAAATTATGCAAATTTATTCAAAAATTATGCAAATTTATTCAAAAATACACACAGTGCCCATTGGTACCTAGCTATCATATGCTTCCCTGGCTTGTCAGAGGCTGTCGTCGAGCAGATAAATATAGAAAGGCCCGTCAATAACAATGATGGGACGACGGCGACTGCAAATCTCATTAGCAGGACTTCTAAAATTAGATTCAAGCAGTAAGTTTGCATGAATGAATTAATAAATTGATGAATATTTGTTTTGTATTTTATGTTTTTGAGTAGTTTAAGTTTGCGGGGTTTGTATTTTACAGAAAATAAAATGGCTAGGCTGTTGTTTTAGCTGTTTAGTTGATTGAAGTCATTGCAGATATTTAGAAATTCGAAAATTTTTCAAAGTTTATTGAATTTTAAAAATGTTAAAGGTTGCCGTAGTTTTTTAAAAAATATACATTAATTTTTTGGACGACTTTCCATATTTATTATTCTTTCCCTAACCCACACTTCCACAGGCCTTGCATATTGATTTTTGATTCTTTGGCAGTACCATGTAGGTATGCTGTGGTCAGAGCTCTGAGAGAGTTAGTAACTGTATTCATTCGTTCGATCGTTCGTTCATTCATTCCTTCGTTCGTTCGTTTATTCATTCATTCATTCATTCATTTAATTAATTATTCATTCATTCAATTATTCATTCATTCATCCATCTATTTATTTAATTCATCCATGCTTATTTATTCATTACAGTTAGCTAACATCCAACAATAGATCGAATTATAAATCAAGCTTATTAAATTATTCAAATATGGTAATTTATGTAAATTTATTCCGTAGCTATCTACAAGAAGAGTGGAATGCAAAGAAAAGGAAAACAGAGGGCGAAAGACTATTCACCAAAGACAATTTTGTTGGGGCCTTTCCTAGGTGCCCCCTACAAACAAACTACAGTGACTGCGGTGTCTATGTTCTGCAGTATGTTGAGAGCTTCTTTCAGGTAGTAGGTTCTTTCTTCTGAGTGTGTTTTTCTTTGCGACCTTGTTGTAATAGGGCCACTAGTTTTTGTGTCATTGTTGCCGATTGAATTTCAAAAGAAAAAAAAAATCATCAACCAATCAGATTAATCATTCGAACTATTCTAACCAATCACCGTACAGAATCCAATTATCGACTACGTCTTCCCGATAACGAGCACGGTCAACTGGTTCCGGCAGGACGTCGTGGCCAATAAGAGGAAGTTCCTGCAGAAGTTAGTGAACGAGCTGAAGGACAAGCTCAATCCGTCCTTAAAATATGACCCATTTAACGACGAACTCAATCCAATCGTAAACCCCGAAACTGGGTCAATCAGTAATAATAATAAAAATAATAATAACAACCCTGAATTGAAAGATGTTGATATATCACCATGTAATAATAACACCAACAACAATAATATTAATAATAACAATACTAACCTGGTTAGTGCTCAGAGTATAAATTCACTTTTACTCAATGCTTACAAAGCAGCAGTATCAACAGCTACTACAGCAGCGACTGCAACTGCAACGACAGTGATGATGTCCTTGCCTCAAACGTTTAACAAGAACATATTCGACCTAGCTAAAAGGTTATCCATCCCCACGGCCTCTACTGGAAGGCACATCACTAAAAATGTTAATCTAAACTTAGCCGGCCAGCAGCAGATTCAAAATTTCACTAACCTCGGTGCCACTAATTTCATTGGTAAATTAACGTCCGGGATTGCCCCAAATACTGCTTGTAATTTTACCACTACTCTCCCTACTGCTACTTCTTCTACCGCTGCTCCTGTGTCTTCTGCCGCTTCTACATCTACTACTACTTCTACTACAGCTAATTATATTACTAATACTATTGCAGTTATAACTTCTCCTATTACTACTACTACTACTTTTCCTACTAGTATAAATGATACTGCTACTGATACTACAACTAATAACTTCATGCAAGTTGATGATGATAATATCTCTAATACAAGTTTTCTATCATCTTCTGGTAATTTTTCTATTACTACCACTACTACTTCTACTACTATTACTGCTGCTGCTGCTGCTACTACTACTACTAATAATAATAATTTTGATAATGATGTTGCTAATATTGGTACCGTTAGTATAGAAGGTAATATTATTAGTAATAATGTAAATAAAGATTTTAACAGTAATGGAAATAATAGTAGTAGTAGTAATAATAATAGTAATAATAATGATAATAATGATGATAGTGGTAGCGGTACTACGCTGGCTAAGAAGAGAGATATTGATAGCAGGGAGGAGGTGGTCTATGGTGAGGAGAGAGCTGTGAAGAGGTTCAAATCGTGCACTGATGGTGAATGTAAGCCTGCTGGTGGCCTACAACAGTACCAGCAGCAGATGGAATATTTAACATTGGTAAATACTAAACCTATTAATACTCTCAGTAATTGCAATCCTGCTTCTGCCTCTATTTCTACTACTGCTTTTGCTACTGCTGTTGCTTCTTCTGCTGCTATTACTGCTATTACTCTTGTTCCTTTTACTACTAAAACTGATTTTGCGGCTACTGCCGCTACTTCTACTACTACAACAGCAATAGCAACTGCTGCTGCTGCTAATCCAATGCATATTTCTATGGATATTAACGCGAATACTTCTAATACGACTGTAGCTACAACTTTTTGTAACTTCAATGTCACAGACGGTGATAATGTAAACGCCACTCCTGCGTACGCTACATCGCTTGATGACGTCAACATCAACAACAACGACAACAACAACAGCGACAATAACACTAATAGCAGTAACGATGGTACGAATTTTTTCCCTAGCACAACTTACTCAACATCTGACAACGTTATATTCGGAGTCAGTAATTCAGTAAAGTTACTTTCTGGTGTTGGCAACAATAGTTTAGAGTCTGCACTTTGTGGTAGTAGTAGTAGTAGTAGTAGTGGTAGTGGTGGTGGTACCACCGATGGTAGTAGTTATTCAGCTACCGGTATGTGTGTGGATACTAATGTTACTACTACTGCTACAACTACTAATAATAATCATGATGATAATACTATCAATGCTAATAGTATAGACAATGCAATAAGTAGTTGTAATAGTGATGGGAATTTTTTAAAAGTCAGTGATGGAAAAGTAGACGGTGTTACCAAAGAGTGTTTGGAAGATTTAAACGTGATCCAACAACAGCAACAACAACAACAGATACAACAGCAACATATACAACAACAACAGATACAGCAACAGCAAGTACATCAACTATTGCAACAACGGCAGTATCAACAATCTTTTTCTCAGCATTTAAACCAACACAACAACAACAACAACACAGACAAAAAGAATATTTCTGACGAAAAGTTTGACACCGTTTCATCTGTTGCTGAACTACAACAACAACAACAACAACAACTTATAATACATCAACAGGAATTTACAGACAATAAAGATGACATCAGCTCACACGACATCAGCGAAATAAACAACAGCATGGATATTGTTGAAGACAGCAGCAGTGATAGTCAGAAGCCCAATGACATTAACCAACCATTGCTATTTTGATTATGTTACTGATGATGTTTATACGTATATGTGTGTCTGTCTATGTATGTGTGAGTGTGTTTGTGTGTTTATGTATGTATGTATTATTATTATGTTACTGATGATGTTTATACGTATATGTGTGTCTGTCTATGTATGTGTGTGTGTGTGTTTGTGTGTTTATGTATGTATGTATTATTATTATTACTGCGTGTATTCATTCATCTGTTTTGGCATCATTTTTAAAAATTCATTAGATGAAATGAAATGTATAACATATATAATCTATTACTTTGTGTTTCTTTACTTTTAGTTTAGCAGACAGTTTAAATAAACACTGACTATGTTTGTCTGCCAATGTGTACATACATGTAAATATATATATATAAATGAAAGATATATATATATATATATATAAAGATATATATATATATATATATATATATATATATATATGTATGTATGTATGAGTGACCCTTTGTATGCATATGTTGAAGTAATAGAAATTACATTTCTTTTCGTTCTATAATTTATTTAAATCGAAATTCCTGGTAAAACAGAAAATGAAACCTTTTTTTGATTGCTGTTATTATTATTATTTATTATTATTATTGTTGATCTGTGGATATTGTAGGGAGAAAGAGAGAGAGAGAAAGAGAGAGACAAGTGTAATGTAAGATGATGATGTAATGTTAAATTGTAATTTTTCAATGAGTTTTTTTTTATAAAAATCCATTTAATTTACTTGAAATATATATATATATATATATATATATTTATTTATATAGAGCATGTACAATAGCATTATTTTCGTTCTTATATTTTTATGTATAATCACACACACACACACACACACACACACACGCGCGCGTATATGTATTATACATAGGGTATAATATGTGCACGCGTATACATAGCCGGTATATATATATATATATATATAGAGAGATCATTAATTTTTGTAATAAACAAGAGAAAAAATGTATGTGTATTTGTTTCTATACATATATATATATATATATGTATATATATATATATGAGTGGATGTACGGGTGTAAATATTTTTTTTTTCAACAGCTATTAATAGTAAAGAGCCATATATATCTTTATGTATATATATATATAAATATATGTATATATATATATATCATATATATATATATTGTATAGCTAATAGTATGTATATTTGCTTGCACGTTCTCAAATATTCACTGTCACTTCTTTGATTACTACACAACTTTTTTATTGTACCAATCGCATCTTTAGTATTATATATAGTTGAAGTTTGTTGGAAAGATAGATAGATAGAGGGAGAGAGAGAAAGAAAGAAAGAGAGAGAGAGAGAGGGGGGGGGGGGATTTAGAGATGGCAATAGAAACAGTGCGGAATTCTAAAATCATTAAAGCGACGATATTTTTCTGTGTAGTAACTGAATAATACTACAATTTGACTACAACCTTATCATTCAATAGCATATATATATATATATATATATATAATCGTATATATATATATATAGTTAAATAGATCTTATAAAGCTATGGTATAAGGGCTGCATATACTTTATATAGAATGTATATTTATAAAACTGTATATTAATTTAGCTTTAATAAAATTAATAGTGACGACAAGAATTTAGTTAGAAATATTGATAAATGTAATAAAAAGAACTATCCATCGCTAGAAATTCGGTAGATTTCATAAATAACTCGATATATATATTATATATATATATGAATACATACACAATGTATGAATGGTTTTATATATATAATATATATATATATGGTTTGCAGGAATTGGCTATTACACTGAAGCATTGAAAAACAACTAGAAATAGAGTAAATTTATTTTTTGGTTCTTTATCTCATCATTTTTCGTTTGTTGTAATAAAAGAAATACATGGATATGACGATTTTGTTGTTGTAGTATTGTACAATACAATACAATACAATAACATACAATACCAGCCCATACAATACAATACATTACCATACAATTCCATACTATACAATACAATGCCATACCATTCAATACAATACAATTCCACGCCATACAATACAATGCATTACCATACAATACAATACATTACTATACAATTCCATAACATACAATACAACACCATACCATTCAATACAATACATTACCATTCAATACAATACATTACCATACAATACAATACAATACATTACCATTCAATACAATACATTACCATACAATACAATAGAATAAAATAAATAATTAACTAAATATGAACAAACTATCACTCTAGATCGCATACATCACGTGATGTTACTTGTGAAAAGTAAAGTATAACGATAATAAGTGCAAAATGAACACTTCATTACGTCATAACCACTACATAGATACAGAGATATTTATTTAAACTTTGGCTGGCATGGATCTTTCAAGTGTGAATGAAATCTATGTGAGATGATAATTTTTTCTCTATGGACTCCTGCAATTTATTACAGGTTTCTAATTATCTTTTTCATAATATAATATAATATAATATAATATTATTACTATTATTGCAATAATTTGTACGATCATCATTGATATTTTTCGTTAACATGTACTACTAACTAATTCTCTTTTAGCTTCTTCTAACTCTACTTTGGCCAGCTTAGAATCCTTTTAGACAAATATCAATAATAATAATAATAATAACAACAACAACAATAATAATAACAATAATAGTAATAATAATAACAATAAATAATAATAATTGTTATTATTATTTGATTCTCCACTAACAGGCGACAGAGAATGAAAAGCATTTAATTTCTGCTTTACTGCATTCAGCTCGTCTCTTTTGGCCTGCAAATCCTAAATTATAATTTAAATTATTATTAATAATAATAATTATTATTATAATAATAAAAAACAATAATAACCTTGGATTTTTGAACCAGGGCACTATGGTATAACGACGATGACAATTCGGCGTCCGTTAATTCCGACTGTATGTGTGTATTTTTGAGTATTTGTGTGTATGTTTGTTTGAGTATGTCTCTCTCTCTCTCTCTCTCTCTCTCTCTCTCTCTCTCTCTGTGTGTGTGTGTGTGTGTACAGATGGATCATTTATTTACTTTAAGGCGTCGGATAGTTTTGTCATAGCCACTTAGCTTCTGGTGGAAAAATTTGGCTTTTTCCGATTTTCTTTTCAAATCATGATCTTCAACTTTACAATGGGATTCTAGATCTTTCTGCAGACTTCGTGAATAATAATAATAATAATAATAATAATAATAATAATAATAACAACAATAATTTTCTCCTGTCAAATCAGCAAACAGGCAACAACCAGTCTTAGCTCGTTGATATGATCAGCGCGAGCAGTTAATAATAAAAACAACAACGATAATAGTAATAACAAACATAATAATTAATAATAATAATAAAAACAATAATGATGATAAGAATAAATAATGATAACAATAATTAATAATATTATTGAGAGTTACAGACTTTTGTAACTTTGCGGCTAGCATCAGCTGCCCCTTATATTTCTCCTTCAGTTTCTCCAGGGACTTAATCTCCTTACCCATATCTTCATTTGCTCTCATCCTTTCGTTCGCTCCGTCCATCATCGACATAATTATGCTAAATTTATTATAGTTGTTTTTATTATTACCGTTGTTATTATTATTATTATTATTGATTAATACTATCAAAATTTAATCGCTATGACCATTATACTGGCCTACCATTGTTATTATCTTAAAACATCGTCATTTTCTTCAATATTATCTGAACGACATATGCCAAACTTATGTGACGTCATCATCGTATAAGAATAACAAGACTTTATCATCATCGTTTTTATCATCGTCATCGTCATACTAGCCCCCCCAATACTATCAAAGTTGCATCAGAATTATCATCATCCTCTTAGTCGTCGTCATCATCACCATCATCATTCTTGCCTGCTGTTATCAGGATTTTCAACGTTAAGGATGTTGGCCACGGATGATAACGTTGCCAACTTACGTAACGTTTCTTGCTGCAAATCTGGCTCTTGTATATTAATTCTCTCTAGAATATTCTCTAAACGTTTTTCTGTTGAAAAAGAATTTTTCAAAAAATAATACTACTACTAATACTGCCACTACTACTACTATTACTACTACTATTACGGCTGGTACTACTACTACTATTTAAAAAAGCCTTGCTGATATAATTAATTAAATATCAGTAGTACTAGCATAAAACCACAAACATACTAACACACACACACACACACACACACACACAAACGCATACATACACACTTTCATTTTGATAAAAAGAGATATTATTATGGTGAAACTCGATGACAGCTTGCATATTCTCGTCAGCCATCTTGTTTCTGACCATCAGATCGTGAAGGTAATTGATGGTGTAGTCATTTTTTTCAAATGCTTCAAACTGCCTGCCATTGAAAATTTCATTCAGCCAATCTGCCACCTAGTGTCCATTTATTTTTATTTATTTATTTTCAAATAATAATAAACAGAAAAAAAATTAGAATTAGATTAAGATTTAGCGGAAGAGAATTTAAAAAATAAAATTTATTCAAACTAATAATTTAAATTTTAAAACTTCATAATTTTGAATAAATTTATATTTAATTAATAATTAATTAAA